CATGATGGATTCCATTTGATAAAATATTTACGACTAGCGTCCGCGTTAACTTAATCTTTTTTCAGAACCCCAAAGGGACTTGTACTTTTGAACACGCTTTTTTATCAGTTTCACCTGTATGTTTGTTTGTTTATATGTATGTAACTGACTCGTTTGGACTCGATTTTGCCCAACTTTAAGCGATCAGATTTATTTTAAACTAGGCAAATATAGGTAGATTAGATGACAATACATTATTATGGTACCACCGAGCTGATATAATGATGGGACTGGAAGGTGGCTGATAGAACCTTGGACTGCCTACTAGTAAACATATCGAGTTTGGACTCATTAGATTCGTATTAACACATTCTGTTCATTTCTCCTGGTGACGAGGACCTGATAATGGACTGAAAGGTGGCTGACGGACCCTGAACTGCCTACTAGTAAACATATCGAGTTTGGGCACATTAGAATCGTCTTAACATATTCTGTTATTTTTTCCTGATGTCGAGGACCTGCTGATGGACTGGAAAGTGGCTGATGGACCCTGGACTGCCTACTAGTAAAAGAATCGAGTTTGGGCTCATGAGATTCATTTTAACATAATAAATCTTGGCAATTATATAATGTAGATAATATGATAAAACAATATTATTGCACCTTCAAGCTGATCTGATGATGGGACTGGAAGGTGGCTGATGGAATCATGGACTATCTACTAGTAAACATATCGAGTTTGGGCTCATTAGATTCGTCTTAACACATTCTGTTCATTTCTCCTGACGACGAGGACCCGATGATGGACTGGAAGGTGGCTGATGGACCCGGGACTGCCTACTAGTAAACAAATCGAGTTTGGACTCATTACATTCATCTTAATAAAGATCAACAAAATTTCTCGAAGCTACGTGAGTACAGAACAATTGGAGCAACTGAAACACGACATGGACACAGCGGTGACACTCTCTGTACGTGAGAGTTCCAGCGTCAGTGACCTGGGAGAATTAGACTTGTGCCAATGAATATTTATGCATAGTAAGTTATCAAATGTAAACTGATTCAAGGATAGTGGGGTAAATAATGAAGGATAGGTTTGATTTTATAATCAATTTTTAATCTTTTAATGTAGGTACTATAACAAATTGCTAACTTTTTATGTATTTTCTCCTTTTTCGATTCGTTTTATAATTCTTATTATTATCTAAATAATGATAAATCGGAGAACAAAAGACTTAAATATTTCAGGATGTAGTTTTTGCTGTGAAATGACTGAAATAACTTTATTTTACCTCATACTGGGTTTATTCGTAGTAGTGGCGTTAACAATTAATTTCCAACGTTATTAAACTAAATACATTCTCATTTTACCTTAATGCACGACGTTGACAAACTAAGTTTACTTTTCTTGATGAAATACGTTGAACTGGATAGCTGAGAAGACAATTGCGATGGTGACAGCTTCATCTTATCTTTATATTCGAAGATTAGGGGTCCATACTGTGCATCACGCCTTGTCAAAGTTATCCACTACCGAGATCGAGGTCTCATGACGTCGCCATTTTGATGTAAGAAATGAAGCCAACTAATTCTTGGTTAATTCATGTAGAATGATTCATCACATTTAAGTATGAAGTTATTCTTTATTCTATGTTTTGTAATAAATGAAAGAGAGAAAATTTAAATTAATAGTTTAAAAAACTAAAATCACGCTTCTACTTACTGCACTAAAATATATATATATATATATATTATAAACATGGCTTACTCTAAAGCCCTAATGAAGTAAACAGAGAATATATTTTGTTTATTTTTGTATATATATATATATATTTGTATATATAATATAGTTTATATATATATATATATATATATATATATACAAATATAACTAAAACAAGCGGGGGAAGCTTCATTATTAAATTTTAACTGAATTGTTGAACATTATGCATCACGTAATATATTACTTGATTAGTTAAATATTACAATGAAAAGCACCCCACGCTTTTTCAGTTATACACATATATATCTTAAAATCAGAAAAGACTCCAATTTCCACTGAAGATCTGTTACGACATGCCCATAAATAATTCGCAGAAGCAAACACTCAAATTCGCCGGAGTAGACCTACGACAGGACTGTTTCTCCCACTGTCAGTTCTATGTCGCATGTTTTCATGTTGGTTCACCTCAAAGTTTGGTGCTATTGCTACCGGGTTAAAACAAGGCAAAAAGGTAGTTTTTACATAATTAGTTGTAAGTTTTCCGCAAAATAAATTAATAAATACCAAATTTCATCCAAATCCTTTGATTGAGTAACAAACATACTAACACACAATTATACATTCATAATATTAAGTAGGATCATCAACTTTATTTTTCCTATAGATAGGTCCGACAAACTACTCCACCCCACCTGATCTTAAGTAACGGTGAATTCCAGAAGCGAAGATATCTGGTACAGCAATTCTAATTGTATATTCTTGAGTAGAAGTAAGAATATGAAAACAGATGTAGGTATGTATGTAAATCGACTTTCAAGAAAACGTATAGGTAGGAATGAAATAAATGAACAAAACTCACATTAAAGATAAGTCATGGATAGGTTATATACTTCACACGAAGTCACAGCTCATATGAATACCGTTATTTACATAATAAGTGATGTGATATTTGAGTTCATTTAATATGTGTTTCAATGAATAATGTTTGTACGAATAAAATATTCCTTATTTAGTTTGTAAAGAATGTTATAGGGTTGACTATAATGTTTATAAATGATTGGCCCATTAAGCGTAATTATTCATTTGTTTGTCTGTAGCAAATTCATTATTAGTTTTCTATTGAAAATTGTTCTACGATGCTATTAAATAGAGGTTAATAGTCAAAAGAAAACGACTGTAGCATGCTTAATATTATTAGGTATTAAAATAATAATAATACATATTCTTTATTGCACACAACAAAGGACACAAGACATAAACAAATAAAAACAGAAGAAAGAGTACAATAGGCGGCATTATTGCTAAACAGCAATCTCTTCCAGGCAACCTATGGTGGAAGAGGAATAATAATATAGATAAATATAGAGGGGTGTTAAAGTAAACACAGGAGATAATCCTTACATAAATATTCAAGAGAAGCAAAGAAATGGGATGCTAAATGAATTTAAGAAACGGAAAGGAAATAGCTTTTAACTTGATCGCTAAAGGAATTAAGTGAACGAGTCTTTCTGATTCCTTCAGGGAGAGAATTCCACAGCCGAGCAGCGTGCACAGTAAAGGAATAAGAAAAGAAGTCAGAAGAGTGATAGAGAATTTCAAGAAGAAGGTTAGTGTAAAATATTATTACACTAACAGTAAAAGTTTCAAATGTGACTATGTTCATTAGTAGTCGAAGTACAAGTAATTAAGTTAGTTTAAAAAAAAAGCGAGTGTGCTTATGACCACACGACTGAAGTGAATCTTCTTTAGCTCCAATGATCTGAAAATCATAAATTTAACCTGAAGATTTGTTGCTAGAAAAAAACCCACCAATCCGCGCTGGGTCCCTTATCACCCTCCAATCCGCACTGGGTCCATTATTACCCACCAATCCGCGCTGGGTTATCTGGGTGATACTGGGGATGTGATGATGGGTTTTCAAACCGTACTGGGTCCGTTATCATCCACCAATCTGCACTTGGTCCGTTATTACCCACCAATCTGCGCTGGGTCCGTTATCACCCAACAATCCGCACTTGGTCCATTGTCACCCACCAATCCGCGCTGGGTCCGTTATCACCCATCAATCCGCGCTGGGTCCGTTATCACCCACCAATCCGCACTGGGTCCGTTATCACCCACCAATCCGCGCTGGGTCCGTTATCACCCTCCAATTCGCACTGGGTCCATTATCACCCACAAATCGGCGCTGGGTCCGTTATCACCCACCAAGCACAAGATTCATGTATTTTGTGACGGGTATTGTTCATTGTTCACCGATGAATGAGCGCGTATCGCAAAAATCGTCACACATTCGCCAGTTTACCCCCAAGTCAAGCCTGCCTAAATTAATTAACTTTCACTTCAAAAATGAAAATTAAAGAATTGCCATCAAACAGTAATAAAAATATTTTTTTTATAAAAATCTTTTAATTTAGTGTAAATGTAAGAGAGATTGGCCCCATTGTGTCAGGGCCAACATTCGTACAGGATCCTTATAGTTAGCGATTCGAATACAATTGATGCATTTAATCAAAACTATGAACAGGGCCATCTTTAACCTATTGGAGGCCCTGGGCATATTAGGATAATGGGGCCTATATGACTTTGATGTGGATTATGACTTGAAATGGAGCGAGCATACTGATGAGTGTACTACTGATATTTTTTTTTAAATGTGTATGTGCTTAGTATTATACGTATGTTGAAATTTATCTAAGCATGCTGAAGTCAGAAAGCCAAATTTTTGTTCGAGATAGAATAGCTTCACTTATGTAAAAGCTAGTGAGTTGGTATTGTAGTCAGTAATTTAGGTACGATGTCATCGACTTATATAAGTTTTTTGGTAATAAATATTGGTTATCGTTTGGTGATCTAACAGGAACTAGGGACTTTGTATTTGATGTGAGGGGGGCCCCTATCGATCGTGGGGCCCTGGGCACTTGCCCAAAGTGTCCATTGAAAAAGAGGGGTCTGACTATGAATAATTCACATTGAACAGTACAGAATTTATATTAATATTACATTTAGAAGTATTTACCTAATTTACTTAACGAAAAAAAACTAAAACTACTACTTTATCCTTCGAAAGCCCTCCATTAAAAAAGGCCATAACGAAATATAAGAGAACATTTATTACATCCATCATATTTCATATAAAGACGAGACAAAAAATATTTATTGCTAAATAATTGTTATGAAAGCGTCGATTCGATATTAAAATTCTTGAGATCGACGGCGTTTCGTTATACGTTCCTTGTGTTCGGCTGCGGGGCGCGAATCGCAACGTATCGGGTCAGCTAGCCATCCAGCAGTGTGACAACGACTACGCGCTTATAAGGACGCCTGGACTGTGAACCTTTCGTGCGACTCGAGGCACGAAAAACTGTCTGTAGAAAAATCCTTTCGCTTAGTATGCGTCAAAAGTTTCTTTTTCGCTTTTCAAACTATGGCATTGCCGGGAAAAGTGGTTTGTTTTTTTACATAGGTGGATTTGAATAAAATATGCCGCAACGCGTTTGCAAAAGTTTGAAACTTCAGTGATAATGTTTTCATTGTTTTGTGAAGTTTGTTACATTAATTGTTAAATGTGAGATAAGTAACGGGGTTCTTTTAAAACGATAAAATGTTTATGTATATGTATTTTAAATGTTAAGTTGAATTAAAATTAAAATACCTCTAAAAGATTTCTTTGAAAGTTTATGAACTTGCGAAAAAGTTTGTTTAGTGCTCTGACATTTTGTAAAACTTTTAAGAGTATTTTAATGAAAAGAAGTCGTCGCTACTCCTAAATAAGGTAAGTGATAATGTAATTTTGTGTACCTGTGTGTTGTTTTGTGTACGTTGTAATTCCTCCCTAGGAATTATTCAAATATTTAAATAAAAAAAAACTTTCAGCCGTACTCAAAGACGTCCATTTAATTCAACGTCTGTCATAATGGAAAGTGAAAGCATTTACTTTAATGAAACTTAAAGTAAATTTTCACTTTAAAACTAAATAAATAAATTTAAATAAATATTTATGGAGTGATCATGAAATACAACAGACGTGCTATTTTTGCCGTTGTTTGCCCGATATTACCATAAAGTGTCTAATAATGGTACGGAACCCTTTCTGTGCATGTGTCCGAATTGCATTTGGGCAGTTTTTAATAAGTAGTAACTATCACAATGCAAATGAAAATAAATACAAGCACCTGTTTTAAAATCTGCTCTCAAGATATGATATAATTAATTATTTATTATTAATGAGTCAGGAATTTGTTGGAGTAATATTCTGTTGATTGTTCATTCGATTCGTTCAGAAGTTATACCTTTCATATTTTCCGCTGGCTAAAAACTGATTACTAATTGAGCCCTTAATTTATTGGCAATATAACTGTCACTTTTTGGCGAAAATCTCTAGATAGTAAAATCATTGCGTCACCAAAAACACCTCAATTTATATATCTTTCTACTTCATTTGTCTAACAATATGGCGCCTTTATTCTAAAAGAAGCAACTACTACCTCAGTGTTGAATTTCACAAGAACAGTGGTCATATTCAACGATTACAAAGAATGTTTTCCGAATTCTACCGATCCCGCCTTAGAATACTAAGTCGTAAAGCAATTAATACGAGTACATGTATTTCATTGCATCTTGCGTTTGTTTATGCATATGGCTAAAGAGATATTGGGGGAATGGTCAATCAACCACCATTAGCTGCATCTTCTTCGGGGTTATTTTTATTTACATCACATAAATGCTCTTCCTTCTAACTCAGTTTGGTTCAACCGAATGAAAGGCGTTTTTTTTTTGTTTTGACGCTAGCGATGAAATCAAATAAGTGGTTATTGGTGTTAAGGCGAATTATCAAATAATAATTAAGTGAAAATTTATTTCTTAGTAGTTTCCACACCTTTAATAAAAACATAAAAAAAATCTTCTTAGAAGGATTTTCCATGGCTGTATTCTCCGCTCTGTCCACTCCCCTGGGGGACCATGGGAGTGGAGAAGTTGAAGTAAATTCTACGTACTACTACCAACCGTTTTTTTTGCACTGCTAAGGGGGATAATGGTTACATAATTTTCTTAATTCGTCTATAATTTGGAGTGTATTGTGTTTACTAAATAATGTTATAGTATTAAACTTTGAAAGCTTTAAAATAGTAGAATTGGGTGGGATACGACGGAGTCCACGATGCATCGATTAAGGTCCCAGTTTGGATAATTATAATGTCGTACAAAACTACATTTTTTTTGTATTAAATTGACGAGTTTCTATGTCATATATAACAGCTATATGATAGCACAGAGATTCATTTATTTACACACTAGCGGCCGCCTGGGACTTCATCCGCATAAAATTAAGTTTTTGGAGAATCCTAAAGGAACCTCAGGAACCTAACGTTTTTCCGGGGTAAAAAGTATCCGAAGTGTCATTTCAGGTCATAAACTATCTGTGTACCAAATTTCATCTAAATCCGTTAAGCCGTTTTCGCATCATCGAGTAAAAATCATACAAACAGTCAAACATACGAACGTTTAAATTCTACATAATAAATAGTATTTTTCTATAATCTTTAACACTTTTAGGGCAAATTGACAGAAGTTATCTAAAAAGTGTACAAGAGATGTTTGCTCTCCACTAGTCACGATCCAATATAAGTACTAGTTTATCACTTTTTCATTATTTATCAGTCGCTATGAATGCGTGTTTGTAAATAAAAACATAATCTGGTCGCATTATAAATCAGGAAATATATTTACAATGTTCCAGAGCAGTTGGGAAATACACAAGTGCTGTTAATTAATCGTTACTGATAAGGACAGTCACACTGATGACAAAAATTATATATATCAAATATTATGAAATGTATTTTTTTTCTTTTTTTGTGGGTTACCTATAATGCTAACATAGCGATTAACGAACCTAAATTATACACGTAACTTTAATAAGTGTCAATAAATATATTTTCATGTTTTTTTTCAAGTGTTTTTGTCTCTGTTGGTGGTGGTACGGTTCTAGGATTATGCGAGATAGGGGGTTTTGGATCCAGACTGGCAAGATGATGATTGATGGAGCCGCTCATTCTTTTTTTGTTGAATTTTCTATCGGCTATCTTTGCGACTGAACTGGACTTCATTTACACTTAACACCAAGTGGAATAGAGTTATTTTCCGCATCCGTTTAAAACATTTTTTTTTATAGATAGGTCCGATAAATGACTCCACCCCACCTGATGTTAAGTGAAGGTGAAGTCCAGATACGAAGATAGCTGATACAGCAATTCTACCTGCCTCACCAGCCATCCTCACCATGCCGGCCTGCATATTGCTTCTTCACGCCTCTTTTGAAGGATCCCAGGTTGTAAGAAGGAGGGAACATGTGAGCGGGCAGAGCATTTCATTTACGGATAGTGCGACAAAGAAATTAGTCACCAATTTTCTTTGTACGCGTTGGAATTGTGGTCACAGTTAGACGGTGACAACATAACCTCGCGTGCTCGGTCCTCTGAAGGAAAGGGGAAGGTGGAATAAGAGAGAATAACTCCTAACTCCTCCATTTTCTATTGGGTTAGCTGGTGGAAATGATGGTGTTATCTACAATCAAAATATCTTTTACGGTTCTTCAACATTCATAAATCGCTGCATAGGTACATAGCTTTGGTAATTTAATAAACAATTTACTATTTTACTAGCGGCCCGTCTCGGTTCGCACGGGTGTATTAAATACTATGAAAACATAATTAATTTACAATAAAACTTTCTATTAGTGAAATAATTTTTAAAATGGGTCAAGATGAGTCAGTCAGTTCATTCTTTTCTCTCTTTATATACTCGTAATAGTAAAGATATTAAGAATAGACTAGCAAACCAGTGAACCAAATGTTCACCAAAAAAAAAATGTATTTAATTAATTGAGAACTTCGGAGATTTTGTGTGGTTTCGTTTGAAATAGAAATCACGTGATTTCTCGAAAATCGGAAGTGCTACGTTACTCACATCCGGTTTGTAGTCTTATCAGACTATTCTTAACTTATAACTTAAACATTCTCTATATCTATCTCTTACGGTTTGGCCGCTGAAACAGCACCACGGACGGACGGACGGACGGACTTGTCTATTAGATAAGAGATGTAGAAGTATAGATATAGAGGAAGACATAGATAAATATTCGGTAAACTAAAGACTTTTCCAACATTATGCCCACTTGTCATTCACATCTCAAATTATGAAGTTTAAGCTTTAAGAGTATTTAATTAATAACAAATCAGAGCAAGCCTGCTGAAAACAGGTCGAATATTTGAAATCTACTTGGTCAGGGGCATGGCCACCCTGATTTTTCAGCTCAGCAAAAAGTTCCTATCTTAAAGTATAGTATATTAAATCTATTGGGCCATGGCCATGGCCATCCTGATTTTTCTGTTTAGCAAATAGTTTCTATTAGGCATATAGGTTGAATATCTTTTTATCCCGGAATTCCCAAGGGAACGGGAATTACGCCTATAAAACCTGGCGCAGCTAGTAATAACATATTAAATATATTTATAGATAACTTGATATTCTTATTTCTCGTCGTAGAGATCGAATTTAAAAAGTATATGAAACACGTTTTTTAGTTTAAGATTTTTATTCTTTGTCGTTATACTCTTGGCGGAGTAGTCGTCGCCGTTACTACAGCGTCATTGGCGGATTCAGTGGTGACCCGCTGCACAAAGCGACGCCATACCTCCCTCACGGCAGCTTTCCTTGTGCACACATGTAGAGGATCATTGATAATGGCTTTAATTTGGTCAGTCCATCTTGTTGGTGAACTACCGCGTGCTCGGATGCCATCAACTCTACCCTGAACGACGAGACGCTCGATGGAGGCTTCGCCACGGCGAGACACGTGCCCGAAGAAAGCAAGTATGCGAGCCTGGACAACAGAGGACAGACGCTGCTTGATGCCGAGTTCAAGGAGAATTGAAATATTGGTTCGAAATTAGCTCCATGATATTTCAAGCATTCTTTTCCAACACCACATTTCGAGAGCATCTACCCTCCATCTTTTACTTTTGCGCAATGTCCAGGCTTCTGAGGTATACAAAAATATGGAAAATACAAGTGTTCTCACGAGCCGGGTCTTTGTGGCTTTTGTTATGTTATGGTTCTTCCATATCTTTTTTAGTCTCTCCACGGCAGATCTAGTTATAGCCATACGACGTTTGATCTCATCGATGCATCCACCATTATTAGTAATTAACGCCCCCAGATATACGTACGATTGGACCACATCACACTTCGCGATTTGTGTAACCTCTGGCGAGTTGTTATTGGCACGATCGATTAGTTTCAGATTAGTTTATCTAAACCAAACTCGTTTTTCCATACAAACTTTGAAACCCAATATCACCCAATCGAAGGTAGAATATTCAAAAATCCTTTCTTTTGATGCTTTGAATTTAAATAACATATTTACTAACTATCATATCTATACGACCAAAAGTGTAGGCGTGCGTGCGTGTATACTTCAATATGCTATGACTTTGTTTTATGAGGGTAGTTTTGAAAAATGAAAACACAGATAGCATTTTTATTTTATACAGAGTAGGTGTTCAAAAGAACAATGCCCATTTGACCTAATCCTGTATAAAGATGACATATACGTCAAAATAAAACTAATCTAATTATAAGTTTATTACAATAATCAACGTGGTAAAAGAAACGCAGAAAAAAATGTTTGCTATGCGTTTTAAATACTTTTACACTGTATTTTATGTGTATCTTTTTCTATATTAAACTTTTACTACAGAATAATTTAAATTAATA